TGCTGGTGACAGCTCTTTTGGGGGGACACGGTGGCCTTTCACAATTCCACAAATACCCAGAAATTGACAGGGTATCTCAAATTTTTTTTTTACCATTGCAAGTACTGTCATTCTTTGCTGGTACCTTTTGCCTGGGTTGTAAAGGAAGTGCACAGTGTTGGGCACTAAAATAGAAAATATTTATTTAAAGAAGTCAAATGTTCTAATTTCTTCTCTCTTCTGGTGGCTGTAAATTAATGGCAGTTCAGCGCTCTGCTGAAATAAGTGCAGTGAGATTGTGGGAGAGCTCTTTTTAGACAGAAATATAAATATACACCACTTTAATTGTGTATATTTAATGTACACCCACTCATTTGATTTTTAATGTGAACAAGGCTTCAGCAGGCTCCAAAGAGCATTGATACCCACTCTCATTCTGCCCTGGAGTGGTCCCAGCCAGGGACCCCCAGCTTATCCACAGGCAGGTTTTTAAGCAACTACGAAATCACTGCTCAAGGAGTCAAGCAGCTCTTCCTGTGCCTGTGACTGTAGTCTGGAAAAAGGGCTCCACACTTGCAAAAGTGGCAAATTAACAAAGGAAATATAGGAGCCCCCTGCTCTGTTTATTTCCCACAAAATATTACTGAGTGGTAACAACCTTCCCAGCTCCTGCACAGCAACAGCCATCACATCCTGTAATGGAAAGTGGTCAGGCTTTGGGTTCTCCCCCACATCTGTGGTTGTCTGTTGTTGGAAGGAGAAGAAGGGCTGCCCTGTATTTGAAGGTTTTTCAGAATGCTCTGCAGTGGCCTTATCCTGCTGCCACTGATAACTGATTGGGAAGTGTCTAACTGATGCTGATGATTTCTGGAAGTCAGGTCCAAATACCCAAGTGCTTTATTGGAAAGGGGACAGGACACACCAGAAATATTGCTGATAGGCACTCCAGAGCTATTAGGCCACATAGCTCTGCTTCTTTATGTTCCTTCACACAGATTTACCTTGAGTTTTTTGCAATTTACTGTCAGGGAAAGAGAATAGTACTTTTTCACTTTTGTATTCGAGTGTAATCACCATCCTTAGCCATGTGCAGAGAGCTGCATCCTAGAGCTGTAATTGCACTGGGGACACACCATAATGCAGAATAATAACTCGATGCTAATGAGCTCCATGTATTCAGTCAGGATCAGACCTGCCATCTCCCTTCCCAATGAAATTACTGCTGGCCTGATCATGCTGCTTTTCCGAGTGTATGCTAAGGTTTGCAATCAATTTGAGCAAGTCTCAGTTTTGATTCAAATTGTCTTCTGAGTTATCCAACAAAGAAAGGCGAAGCCAGGACAGCAAAGCAGACATGAACCTGCAGGGCTCTCTTTAATTTTCAGTTTATCTGCAATTTAAGGGAGTAAACACAACCATGCTGAAGATGCATAAATACAGCTTGGAGTGCCATTGAAATCTAGGTCAAGGTTCCGGCTCTGCCTGTGGAATTTCATTACATGACTTGGGAAGACTGTGTGCTGCTCCAGGAGCCAGGTGGAGGACACTTCTGAGCCAGCATAATGATGAAAGCAGGTAGGCTTCTGCATAATCAACAGCAGCTCCACTGCAGGCTGCTAAACAGGTCACATAGGCCATTGCTGAGCTGGAATTGCTGAATTTTTACTGAATCTCACCAGTCAGTCCCAGCTAAGGCCTTTGGATCTCCAGTGGCTTCAGCCTTCAACAGTGCTCCAAGGAGCACTTCCAGCATTTGCCAGCAGTAAGCAAATTGCCTTCCAGGTGCTTGGAGGGAGGGATAGAGCTGTCAATCTGATAGTTGTTAACAAAATACATAATTTGGAAGGGAAAAAAAAAAAAAGGACTTGCATTGATACACATTCATTTGCTTTGCAGTTCAAGTATATGACTGCTGCAGAACATGAATCTATTCCATATTTGAGACCCAGTCTGTGTTTGTGTTTTAAGTTAGCCTTCCAAGCAAAACACGTGAAAGGAGAACATTTAAACAGGAAGGGTTCATGGATTTTTCTTTCCCTCATAAATTTCTGTAGGTCTTGTTGCTGCTAATTACTGGAGATCTCAGCACAAGGGCTTTTCTTTCTAGCAAACCAGCTTCTCATGTTTCCTGCCCTTCAGTTAATCAGTTTTAATCTCCTCTCTGTTTGTTTATTTAGCTTCACAAAGCTAATTGCCTGTTTGTGACATGAGTCTGCCAGAGACTGGGGAAGCAGAGTTTGTGTGTGCAGCGCGGACAGCGGGTGGGCTCTGGCAGTGCCCGCCGCTTCCAGGGCAGCCTCGGGATGTTCCAGGAGCCAGGTCTGCCTCTGTGCTGCTGCCCCTGGCCCTGTGCCTCCCAGGGAGGCTGCTTTCCCCGGAGAAGGGTGCCTGGGGGTCTGGCCAGCAGCCCAGCACCCGTGCAGGTTGCGTTGGTGACTTGCAGCCGTGCCCAAGCAAAACAAAATCCCAACTGGAGAGGATGGGTTAGCATCAGGCAAGGCAGGGATGTGGATGGGAGCCACTGCAAGACTGATCCTCTGATTCCTCCGGTGAGGCTAGAAAAGCAGATTAGAAAATAAAACACTGAGGATCTCTATAGAAACCTCTGTGTCCTCTCTAACTCTGCTGTCCCCTGTCCCCTCCCTGGCACAGACATGCCCTTTGGAAAAGCCAGGCACCCACTGCTCGCTGTGAACAGGTAGCAGAGGAGAGCAGCTGTGAACAGCTCCTTACTCCCCATGCCCTGGAGTCAGACTCCACAAGATGCAAACCACTCCTGGGTGTCAGGAATTCTGTGCAGTGAGAGTTGTTCTCCTCACCCACCCACTCCTCTGCGTCCCACCCAAGTAGCTGGTGTGTGCTCCCGACTGTTTTTAATGAGTTTTTTCTTTTCATCCTTTAAAATGGGTCCCTAAATCCCATCAGAGTCTGGCCCCTTATACATTGCTGTGATGTCACATGGCTACAGGCTCAAAGGATATGCCAGTGGAAAAATCTTCCTGCCTAAGGGGAAATCCTGAAAGGGTGAGTCTGCTATAAGGTGTCTTAGTCATGCTCACCAATGCCCATTATCACTGCGAAAGAGACTTGTTTTTTGGCACTTGTGCTGCTGGGATTGTGTTTCAACAGGCTAGTTCCTGGTAGTGCAAGGACCCCTCAGAAGGTCCCACATGAGTTCCTGGTATGACAAAGCTACCCTTTAACCTCAAGCCATGAGGTGGGTGGCACTCTGTTTCTAAAATGACTTGAGGCATTATGCACAGTCCTATAAAAATGCAAAATGGGGCTGCTGTATTATCTCCTGCAGCTCAAGAGGTTTGGAGCAATTGGTTGATCTTTTGCTACCAAAAAAGCACTTCCCTGAAGCTGTGGCTGCCACATCTTCTTTAGCAGCAGGCTCTTTATTTTTGTGCTTATAACATTGCAGTTTATTCCCGTGGCAACGACTCTGATGTGATCATTTGCATCCATAATAACTTCACTGTTACTAGAAAAGGTAAAACTGTGATGATCTTTTTGAAAAAGTGATCTGGGTCCAACTGAAATGGCAGACTATAAAAAAAATACTAAAAGTAAAGTTGAATTCTAGGGCAATAAATCATGGCATATTGAGCTGGGCACATGATTTTTCTTGTCTCACTGCCGTAGTGAGGGGTGAGCCTGCGTAAGCCGGCTGAAGAGCTGAGACTGCAGGGAACATACAAACACTCTCATTTGTGTTTTACTTTAGCTTTGACAACGTTGTTCTCTGTTTTCCCTTCCTTGAGGACTGCAATCACTCATGTACTGTTTTCCTTCACTCTGCTAAGTGATGCACAAATTGTTTCTGCATTCCAGGTTAGTTTGTGACATCCCTCTCTCGTGTTTGCATGTGGATAATGAAGATGCTGCCCTGCTCATCAGGAAATGAGTAGGCTGCCTGCCTCCAGCCTCAGAGGAGCTGCATGGAGGCTGGTGGAATCACTGTGGCTCAGCACCAGCCCTGAACCAGTGTTTGCCCCAGCACTTGTTCCGTGGTTTTGCATGCTTTATCTTTCACCTGTGTCCACAATCTCAGTGCTGTGCTCCACTGAGGAGCTTAGGATGAAACAAGGACTTTCCTGGGATAAGCACATTGAGGAACTAAGGCCAAAATGCATTTCTCTTGGTTCAGATCCAAACCAGTCACAGGATGTCTTTCCTAGTTCTGTCTCCTGTGGGTTTTGCTTGCTTTAAACTTCTTTAGAACACAGAATTAAAAAAACATAATTTCTTGCACGTACACATATACACACCCATGTTTAAATAAAAGAGAATCCTGCTTGTGTGATGAGACACACCAACTGTCTTAATTCGAACAATTCTCTGTTTTGATAAGTTGATTAAATATGTTTTAGCTAAATACTTAGCAGAAGTCAGGCTACTGGTGATGTAAAGCCAGCTAAGAAATATACTTTCCCTATGCTTTGAGCAACCTGGTCTAGTAAAAAGTGTCCCTGCCCAAAGCAGGGGGATTGGAACTTAGATGGTCTTTAGGGTCCCTTCCAACCCAGGCCACTCTGGGTTGGAAGGGACCATAATTCCAAACTTTCCAGAAAAGCTTTCCTCCATAAATTAGAAGTAAGAAAGCTGACACTAATAAAACAGAGCAGGCTATCTGAGACCTCAGTTTGGCTGGTGTAGAAATGCCAAATAATACAGCTTTCCATGAATTACTGACTGCATGTTGAGAAATTAAACTTCTCTGAGAAAGATAAGGTCCATGTGAGCTATTTGACCCCACACATGATCATGAGCACTTTATCCTTGCTTGAAGCAGCTTGGTGAGCAAGTATCTCTTTTCTTCATTGTGGGTGAGTGGGTTGAGATAGAATTACAAAACTAATCCTCCTTACCTGCTGCTTTGTCTCATCACATTTTCATAGGCCAAGAAAAACAAAAATCCCACATCCCATAATGCAAATGTGGGCTTGCCTCAGCCCTGTGTTCCCTTGCCAAAGGGGGGTGAGAGGGCTCTTTCCAGCCCCTGAATGCTCCCAGGACATCCATGATCTACACTGCAGCTGGCCTGGGTCTGCCTCTTCTTCCTGTGTGTTGTTTCTGCCCGTGGCGCTCACCTACACCAGAATATGGATTTGACAGGTAAAACTTGTGGCTATGTATAGATGATCTTCAATCTGATAATTAATGCATGGTCTTAATTAGAATACAGTTCTGAAGAATTATCTCCCTTTTAAATGTTCTCCTTTTCCTGTTGCATGATACTGCAGTTTCTTAACAGCTATTGGAGTCACCCCATGACATGTGCTCCTTGTTGCTGTGTTTTTTTTTTTTTTTTGCTTCACATTCAGAGTATTGTCACTATTGATTCTCAAGACAGTCACTTTGTTGTTTCTAGAGAGACATGCAGATTGAGCCACTTTCCATTTAAGATTAACTGAAACTCACTGGAACATTATCACCTGCATGGCAACCAGAAGCCCATCTGTGCCTAACATCAATAGTCCAAAGTGAAAGAGCATGCTTTTGACAGGAGAAACACACACTGTGAAAATCCTTATCAGGGCTGAATGAGAGCTGGGTGGGAAAAGCCACCCTCTCTTTAACACCAGGTGCAGGTCACATCCAATTTCAGCTGTGAGTAATGGACAGCAGTGATTCACTCCCCAGCGAGTCTCATAAAGCCCACTCCTTATTCCCAGAGACAAATGGGAGTGATATTTTTATAGACAAGTGTTATTGTTGGTAAGCCCTTTCTAGGTCAGTCTAAACCAACACACGTAACCCTCCTGGCTGACTCCAGCTTCGTGCAAGCTGGCAGATCCACTGGGGTGCTGATTCAGAGGGGACATCCTGGACAAGCCACACTGACAGAATTGGGAACGGGCTACAAAACAGCACCTAAGCCAAATACCAAAATTCAGGAGTGCTGAACTCTACTCTTTGAGGGAAAAAGAAAAGTGGCAAATGATTTTCAGGGAAGAGGAAGCCTGGTGATATGGTGCTCTTTTGATGAGAGATGATACCAGTCCTAGCTCCCTATTTGGGGTTTTGCTCCCCCTCAATGTAATGGTGCTCTTCTGCTTACAAGAAAACAGCACAGTGTTAATTTCACTGTGTTTTAATTATTCCTTTTCTGTTTTTCTACATGTATGGCTGCTTTACTGCTTTAATGCAATATTTTCCATTAAGCAGTTCTATGCAGTACAACAAAAATAAACACACAGCAACGTGCGTAAGATTAAACCATTAAACTCACTCAAAGTATACAGTTCATAAATTAAAAGTACTTATGCTTATACTTTATTATTGATTGCTGGGTTGATACAAGAAGAAGAACTTGCCCTTAGGAAACAAAACTCATGGTTCCTTAAGCTTTTCTTTGTCAGGAAGCCAAAAAAGACAACATTAAATTGAAATGTCACCATTTGTTCTTGTCAAATGTAGTTTATTCAATTAGATCCTTTATAACTCTACTGAGTTATACAAAGGAGGTTAATATTTTTTATTGGTTTTCTTCATGCTGTGCCTCTAATACACATAGAGATAAGTTGGCCTAGTAAAATATACAGTGTAATTTGGTAATGTGTTTATTGGATTCCAGTAAAAAACTATGAGAAATTATCCAAGATTTTTGCTTCTTCAACTGAAATTTTCTTTCTTCCCTCTCTCTCCTTTTTTTTTTCCTTTTTCTTTTTGTTTGTTTTTCATTGTTTGGGGAGGGAGGTAATAATCTTGCAAGTGTTTGTTTCCTGTAAATGCTTCAAAGAAGTAATTCCTAGAAGCAGATTTGGGGTTTTCCCTCTGAGTTAAGAAAGAAGCAGATTGAGTTGGGTTTTTTTTTTCCCCTGAGTTAAGAAAGAAAGACTTCCTGAAGAATAAGGTCTTTAGATACACTTATGGTTCCAAAAATTTAACTGTGGTTGTGAAACATATCTGACATCTTGCAGAATGATAAGAGGAGCCGAAGTTTACAGTAACTTACCAATCAGAACTGTCTTATAGAGGGTTCTGATTACTTCTCGGTTTATGGATATGATTTAAACCAGCAAAAACATATTCCTTTTTCCTTGTGGGGTTAGTTTTCTGTCCAATTGGCAGCTGGAGCTCCACTCAGCTCCAGAGGTCAGTAAAATATCACCACTGATGTAAGGGAGACAGGAGCATGCAGTCAGTGCCAGGGCAAGGAGAGGACCAGAGTGATGTTGAGTTCAGGTTCACTTGCCCCGTGACAGAATTGCAGCCAAAGCAGCTGGGTAAAGCTCTGGGCATGCTCACAAGTTCTGCTGAACTGAGACAGTGCTACCGTGCCTGGCCATGGATGTAAAGAAGAGGAGAAGCAAGGCTCTTCAGCAGACCTGGGGCTGAGAACCACGTTGTGGCCCATAGCTGCTTCTCAAAAGTACCTGCAAGCACTTTCACTATGTCAATCTACAGAACGTGAGTGGATTTCTTGAAAGAACCAACACCCTTCCTGGAAAAATTGCAACAGTTCAGAAAAGGTGAAAGTTGAGCAGTGCCACCCTCTCCCTCTTGTGCAATTTGATTAGATCATGCTCTGAGACAGCAGGAGATGCCATCCCACCGTGCCAGGTTTAGGGCTTTTTCTAAGTCTTGTGTTGTATTGGGAACTGCTATCATGCTTGAACTCAATTGAGGACATGAAACCAGCTGCACTTTGGCAAGCCACAGACTGCAGCTAATTTTTGTTCTCTGTTAATTTACCTGCCTGTGGCTTTTCGTGCTGCCCAGGATATAATCAGCTTGCTCTGGAGATGGATCTGCTGCATGTTTGTCTGGAGCTGGGCTGATGCTGACTGATGGGCAGCAGCAATGCCATCTGGGCTGGTCACTCCTGTCACAGCAGGCACAGCTGCTGGGCTGTGACACAGACAGACCCCAGGGCCAAGGCTTCCCTTGGTTTCTGCATCCCTGAGCCTGAGAGCAGCACTGGAAAGGTCTTCACAGCTTTGGCTGCCCTGACTGGTAGGGAACTAGTGGGGCTGACGTGCAGAAACTCTTCCATCAGCTCGCAGGCCAGACAAAGAGCAGAGTGCTGGAAATGAAGGTGTGCTGTGGCACATGCTTTGTGGAGCAGCCTGTGGGAGGGACGCTGCAAACTGATGACTAAGAGTGGCCTGGAAGCTAAATCCCATGTAACTCAGGGTGTCGATTCATGAAATGCTTAATCCCATTTAAATGCAAGATGCTTCCAGCAGAGGAGGCCTCCTCACATCCCACATGTGCACTCCCACCCTCTCCCTGCTCCTGCCCCAGGGGTCCCCAGGCTGGGAGGTTGACTCAGACCATGTTGTTCACCTAGTACAAAGCAGATGATGTTCACTGGAGACTCGGTTTGTGTCAGGCCATAACTATGCATACAAGAATCTGACCTAGGAGGCTCCATCTGCTAGGGCTGAAGGAGAAATGCTGCTAAGCCTTCACTTAGACTAGATTGCCTAAAAAGAAACTGGACTGCACAGAAGAGAATAATGCTCAGGGCTGAACTGGATCCAGCAGCTCAAGAGACCAAAAATCATAAAACCACTGAAAGCTCCTCTTAGCTACTTCATGTAGGAAGCACACAAAACCTTGGGCCTTGCACCAAGCTTCAGCAAGCATGACTGCAAACCAAGGAGCCTTCTTTTGGGAGGAACCAGCCAGCCAAGGATGGTTTGATGGGTTTGCTGATACAGTTATACAGGTGAACAGTCTGGAGGCCAGGGAGGAGCTCTGGTTTCCAGATAAATGCCCTCTCTCACATTCACTTTATTACTGAGCATAGCTCAGTTCCATTTTCTTTACCATTCTTTGCTCCTGTTTCAGAACAGGAATGAGAAGGGTTGGAGAAGGGCTGGGGCTCAGTGCTCGCACAGCGCTGCGAGGGAACACAACCCAAAATAAACACTCTGTCATCACTGCTCTTCTTATGCCTTCATTTTAAACACAGCTTTTCCATTCCAGGTGTAAACACTTCCCAGGTTTATCACCTCTGGTTTCTGGAAATGGACTTTTGTTTTGGGAAACAGGTGGAAGAACAGCATTCTGCCAGGGTAAGTTCCCAGTTTCCAGCAATCTGTTGCACGGGGTCTTGCTGCCAGAGCACAAGATTGTTTCTCTTCAGTGAGAAGGCTGTGGTGATGGCTTCTTCCAGTCTTGCCTAATGAGTGTGCTTGCACACAAAAGGTGTTACAAAGCTTCTGGGATGAGCAGCAGATCAGGGAAATTTTGAGAAGACATTGGTTGGGAACTGAAAGTGCGAGACAGGAGAAGACTTCTGAGTTTAATCTGTGATGCAAAAACCAAACCAAAACAAAAAACCCCAGACCAACCAAAAACCCCACAAAACCTCAGGGAACTCAGGACATAAAAGTAAGGATAAAAGCCAAAAAAACCCATGGTAGTTCTGATTCCAGCTTCTGCTGCTCCCTGTTCTCCCTGTGCTCGGAGTGGGTGTGCTGCTGCTCAGCGCTCTCCCCTGCAGCGAGTCCCACCCGCTGCTCCTGGCGTGCTGCTGCAGGGGATGTTCTCTGGCACACACGGCTGAGTCTGCCCAGCTGGGTGCCCACCTCTGGCAGCTGGGCATTTCCAAAGTGTCCTGCCTCCCAGCCCAGCACCAGCACCCCAGCCAAGGCAAACACGGGACTGTGTGTGCCATCAGAGGGGCTTCCCAAGCCAGGATGTTGTGGGTGAAAGTCAGATGATGAAGAGAGTTTTGGGGCCCTCTCAGTGCACAGATAACACATCTCCCCACGAAAACCTGTAGGGTCTACATGAGCTCCTCTATGCAGCTAGGAAATGCAGCCTGGCCCTGCCCCTGCCCACAGTGGCACAGCTCCATCCCAGGCTGCCAATGAGGCGATTCCCACCTCCCAGGGGGACAGGGAGGGGAACAAGTCACTGGCACAGAGCACAAGTCCTGGCAGACATGGAGAGAGCTGAACAGGTACTGAGCAGTTCTGGGCTCCAGACTGCACACTGAACAGTAAAAGCCATTATCACACCAAGGAAAGACATAAAAATACATTCCTTTAAGTGGCTTTACATAGTAATGTCCTGCATGTACTATTGCTGAATCTTTGGTGAGTTTCTTCTTTGGTAAACTCTGATCTTTTTTATTATTATTTTTAATTCTGTACCATTCCAGAAATGTCATCCTATTTCCTGCTGTCATAGAAAGTGCCTGATGCTACGATTGAAAAATCTTATGAAAAGACTCATATTCTGTTTTTAATCAAATATACTTCTGTCTTTAGAGTACCTGCTAGTTTCTTTTTGCCTGCATGATATTTCTATTTTGATCTAATCTCTTATTTCCCTCCCCCTGTTGCAGTGCCTCTGTCTCCATGGCCCATTTCTCCTTCACAAGTTGTTAATGTGAAAAAATTACACTGCCCTATACCTGAGCAGGTCAGCTTCAAGCACTCCTGAATCACAGCTTCAGCCCATGTTTACAGTAGTTAACAATGAAAAGTGTTTTTACACTGAGGATAATGGTGTGCTTGCACCGTAAGATAAACCTTAGATGTTAAAATCATTATTTATTTAATAGGCACATCAAAGAATACCACGGGAGAAGGGAATTTCAAAGTTTCCCAGAATAATTAGATTTCTGCTATTATGTGAGGTATGCTTTTTTTCTCCTGACTCGATAATAATGAGTAATAAAAGTGTAGTTCTCAGAAATCATTTAAAGCATTACCAGATTGTGAAGGAAAAAAAGAGGAATCATTTCCTTAGAAGCTAGAGATCTAGTAAGCAACAGGACTGCACAGCTAATGAGAGAAAGAAAGGTCTGACTTGGAGCAGACTGCAGCACTTCCGAAACCTGAGAAAGATTTTCTCCTAGGAATGAGGAGAAATACCATTGGGAAAGCTCGTTGCTTAATTTCCTATGGTACTTTCCTTAATTAAATGCATATTTAAATAAGCAGGAGCTCAGCAGTGGAAGTATCCTATAGCATCATTGTTCATTGTGCTCCACGGTACAGAAGCACCACTGAGGGCAGCCCTGTCCCCAGCATTGCATATTCTAGGTGGAGAGTGCCTCGGAAAAGACATCCTTTGTGGATCTCCCCTTACAGATTTGTCAGAAGGACTTTCTAAAGCCTCTGATGACTGACTGTGAAACAAGGCCCCAGTTGATTAAGAAACTGTCTGGCTTGGCGGAAGAATGAGGTCCTCAGTTTAAATTCAGCCTGGTTTCCGTTTTCTGAGTCCTTTCCACGGCTCACAGAGAAATCCCTCACAATTTTTAACCCTTTGCTCTGCCTGGCTGAGCCCTGGCAGGATGTGGGTCACCATGGCTGTCCTTGCTGGCAGCACCTTGGTCCTGGGCTGACGCTGTGGCCCCGAGCCCCAGGGTGGCAGGAGAAGGCTCAGCAGGTCAGGGCTTGTGGGAGAGCTGGGTCCCCGTGGGCAGAAAGGAGGAACCAAGGGAAAAGGGCATCCAGCAGTGAAGAAAGGCTCACACGAGAGGTACTTTTTTCCATTTTTCTCATAGTACTTTCAAGTACTATCAAATACAAAGGTATATTTTCCTTTGCCCTAAATAATGTATTAAAAAAAAAAAAATCTGTTTCAAGTGGCCCAAAGTACATGGCTGAAAGCTTTTCAGAGATAATAATCTGCAGGTGTGTTCCAGCCCTCGACAGTGATGGATCTGCTGCAGGGAGTCCTACCAGCAAAGAATGGGGCTCTTTCTTGTGGGATGTGCAACACAGCAGGAATTAAAAGCTCAAAAGAATATTTATCTATGTACAGGTGACAAAGATAGTGTCAGTTTAATTTTAAAATCAATACAGGCATTGTGATGATTTCTAATAGCACAAAGCAAGACTCTTATGTCCCTTGTCATCAGGGCTGATGAAGTCAGGACAGGGAACATAAGTGGGAGATTAGTTCAGGAGAGGAGAGAAAGGCCAGTTTCATAGTATAGATCCCACCAGATGGATTTTTAATATGTCAGGAGGAGTAAAGAGGAGGCTTATCCTCAATGCACTACAGTACTTTTGAGGGAATAATACTAACTAAAAATACTAATAATACTAATACTAATAATACAAATAGCATATAGAGCTGTCATAAGTCAATTTTTTTTCTCAACCAGCTCCAATTAAAATAAAAAAAAAAAAACCTCCAATAACATGTGTGATAAATACAGTACCTTCTTGAAACTAGAAAGAGAAGTAGAAAGGCTGGAAAGAGCACTATTGTGCATGACTTTTGTGGTATTTTTGTGGAAAACTGACTAACAAGCACATGATGTACAGCTTGGTAGAGTGGGGGGAAAGTGCCGGGACAGAAACCTGAGTTTCCTGAGAAATTATTCTGACTGACATTAAAACAAACTCAGTTCACACATTTGTAGAAGAAAAACTCCACTGCCAGATTTTTAATGAAGAGGTAGCCATGATCAAACCACAAAAAGCAAAGAGGCATGACAAAGGTTTTAAAAAATGGCAACATGCTGACGAAAGTCTATATGGAATATGTTGGCTCCAACTGCAATATTGAAACAGCTGTTGAATTTCAGGCTGAAAAAGCATAAAATATTGAGAACTGGTAACACAAGCTCCAATTCTGAAATATTTGTGTGACAAGCAGAAGAGAAACTCATTAGGCAGCTGAAAATGTCACAGAACTAATTGTTTCATTTTGCTAGCTACCCTCTGTTGCATGCATATCAAAAACCACTTATAAAGATGAGGAATATTCAACTTTTTAGGAGCAGTAGTAGACTCTGTGACATCTGAGCATCTCCACTCTCCAAATTCTTGCTGTCTGGCACCACAGTAAAAAAATGTCACTATTCCTATTTTATAGACAGAGAGGTAGATGAAAGCAAATGAATTGATGTCCTAAAGATTGCCCTGAGAATTTTTTCACAGGTCAGGGACTGAACCCAAGTACTCAAAGAACTATATACATCTTTGGCCACTGGAGGTGTGGGGTTTTTTCTGATTTGTGAAAAGGGTTATTGTTAATAATCCAGAATTGTTGTTCTTTTCTCCTTTGACAGATTTAAGGGTTTTCAGTGCCACCTCCTCATTCTCTTGTATTTTATACAGAGCATGCTCTGCATATTTGGTTGAAAGCCAAGTGTGCCTCAGTTCCCCATCTGCTCTTTTTATGTTGCAACTTATCTCCCATCCCACCTCTGCATTGTCTCTTATAAGTGCATCTCTAATCTCAAGCAGTGTTTAGCAAACCCAGATATCAGTGTCACAAGGGGTGGCTGCAACAGCAGTGCCCTTCATGGGGTCCACAGTGCATCTATGGAAACCTTGAGCAGCCCTAGGAACACATCACTGGGTGTTTGAGATTATTTTCAAGACCCTTCACTAAGCTTTCACCAGGAATAGGGAGACAGCTGTTAACACTCCAGAAATACCAAGTGAAGGTTTGAATGCCAATCCAGAAAAGGAGTTGAAAATATAGTAGATGATTTATCAAGGGCATACTGGAGAAGTGTGAATAGAGATGGTGCTGTCATGATGTATCTTAAAGTGCCTGATATTCAAATGACTGCTTAGAGATTTCCAGTCAGACACGGCAAAATCCATGGTAATTGCCAGCATTAAGCGAGTCTATGTTAAATGGACACAAAACACAAAATGTGAAGAGCTTGAGGACAAGGAGATTTGCTGAGAACAATGGAATTTGACTAATTTGGTTTGGTTTCTGAATTTTTTTGGTTGGTATTGGTTTTTTTTTTTTTAGTTTTGATTTTTGATTTTTTAAAATATTCCAATGGAGATTGTTATAAATAATTAAGAAGAAAATGGCATTTAGCACCATCCCACTTGCTAACAGTGGCAATTATCCCACTCTCTAGATCCAGAAAGGATGGAGAGAGGACTGAGTTCCAGGAATGGAGCAGTGAATGCAAGGCAGTGAGTGTGGTAGGGACTGAAGGAAGAATATCTGCTGCTTTTGTTTCCCACACTTTATCTCTCTTGGTGTCAGAGGCAGCTGGGAGGCAGCCAGGGAATAACAATCCAAATAATAGGAATTGGTAAAAAAATAAAAGGGATGCTTGGCAAGAGGGTTG